CCATGTATACAGACCAGACCCCATACACATCTACCTTCTGCTCCTCCTCATATACAGCCGGTGCCCCCACCTCGTAAGGTTTGCCTGGCCGTGCCTTGGCAGAGTAAGGTTGCTGATTGGTGGGGACAGGCCTGAGACCAGTGCAGTGGCCCAGGAAGTTCTCCCAAAAAGCAGACCAGCATTGATTAAGGTCAACTTATTAGAATGATAATGGGTCAGGGGGGCGCTGGGGAGGTACCATCTGAATTACCTAGATTAGAAGGCTTCAGGGATGTCTTCCCATTCCCACCCCTCCCACCTCCATAACCATGACCATGCATGCCCAGGCTTGGCTAGGGTTGCCACCTCATCCCTTTAAACCCAAACACATATTAATGACACGGGTTCTGGGGCTGACTAAGGTGGTAATTGAACTCACTTAGTGCCTGATCTGCATTAAATCAGCCTCAGAACCGGTGTCATTAATATGCGTTCGGGTTTAAAGGGATGAGGTGGCAACACTAGCCCAGGCAAATCTAAAGGTGCAAATTTATGGCAGATCTTCCAGCATTTAGGTCATGCCTGCACATCAGAATGCCTTCTGCTGCCTATGGCCACCTTAAGGCCATCCTGTTGCAGAGACAGAGTCCAACAGCTTAAAAGGATTTGTGTTGCTTTAAACACTGTTGCATGCAACAGCATTTAGCCCCAGCAAGCGCTGCACAGATGATGCCGGCAGACCACCGAGCCTATAGGCCCACAGTCCACGCTCAGGGACCTCGTCTTGTTGTCTGGGTGGGTTCTAACCCTTCATTTTACAGCAAGTCCGACTGTATTCATCAGAATCACATTGAGGAAACAGCATTGAAAAGCTGTGACACCCACACAATGAAGGCCAGACATAAACACAGACAAAGACACCACAAATAAATAAAGGAGAGGGAAAAAAAAGTGTCATCACACACAGTCTGCACACTAGGAGCTCTCCAAGATAATAATTGCCATCTGGTGTCAATTGTAAGTGTGAGCGGAGAGAGAGAGAGAAGAGATAAAAGGAGAGAGAGAGAAAAGGATAGAAAGGAGAAAGAGAGAGAGGGAGAGAAAGGAGAGAAAGGGAGAGAGAAAAGGAGAGAGGAAGGGAGAGAGAAAAGGAGAGAGAAAGGGAGAGAGAAAAGGAGAGAGAAAGGGAAAGAGAAAAGGAGAAAAGGAGAGAGAAAGGGAAAGAGAAAAGGAGAAAGGGAGAGAGAAAGGGAGAGAGAAAGGGAGAGAGAAAAGGAGAGAGAAAAGGGAGAGAGAAAGGGAGAGAGAAAGGGAGAGAGAGAGAGAAAAAGGAGAGAAAGGAGAAAGAGAGAGAGGGAGAGAAAGGAGAGAGAGAAAGGGAGAGAGAAAAGGAGAGAGGAAGGGAGAGAGAAAAGGAGAGAGAAAGGGAGAGAGAAAAGGAGAGAGAAAAGGAGAGAGAAAGGGAAAGAGAAAAGGAGAAAAGGAGAGAGAAAGGGAAAGAGAAAAGGAGAAAGGGAGAGAGAAAGGGAGAGAGAAAAGGAGAGAGAAAGGGAGAGAGAAAAGGAGAGAGAAAGGGAGAGAGAGAAAAAAAGATATATATATGTATTATAGAATAAGGGAAAAAAGGAGAAAGAGAATAGATATATTTATTTTTTTATTTATTTCAAATAGAAAGAGAGAAAAAAGGGTGACAGAGAAAAAGAAGAGAGATAAAGAAGACAGAGAGAGGTAAATTTAAATATATATATATATATATATATATATTTTTTTTAGAGAAGGAGAAAAAAAGGTAAATTTATATATAAATAATAATTAAAAGGAAAAAAAATTATCTATCGCAGAGAGAGGGGAGAAAGAAGAAGAGAGAGACAGGAGAGAGAAAAAGAAAGGAGAGAGGTTTATAGATATTTTGTAAAATAAATATATATATATATTTATTTTACTATACATCTAGAAACCTCTCTCCTTTCTCTCTCTTCTTCTTTCTCCCCTCCCTCTGCGATATATACATACATATATATATATATATATATATATATATATATATACATATATATATATATATATATACACACATATATATATATTATATATATATATATACATATACATATATATATATATATATATATATATATACACACACACACGTATTTATTTATTTAAAACAGAGGGGAAAAAAGATATAGAGAAATGGGAGAAGAGAAAAAGAGATTTATAATAACAATAAAAAATATATTATCAATATATACATTAAATAATTATTAAATACATATTAAAAATAGAGAATGGGGAGAAAAATAAGATAGAGAAAAAGGAGAAGGAAAGAGATTTATAGATATAAAAAAAAAAAAAAAATCAAAAAAATGTATATATATATAAAAAATATTATTGATAATAATGCAAAAAAAAAATAAATATATATATATTTATTTATTACAGAGAGGAAAAAAAGAGAGAGAGAAAAAGAAGAAGGAGAGACACCGAGGATACACACACACTGTTTTGATCCCACATGTATCACCAGCATTTCCATACCTTGTTCCATTGATAGATGGCCACTTTTTTTCATTCCTCGCGAATCCCATCCACAGAATCACCCCTGTAATCTTGGCTCTATCAATCTGCTCTCTCTCTCCCGTTTGACCGACATCCAAATCTACAAACGCCGGCCGCTCTTCCCGGCAGCGTTTCGGATCCCTGTCTCCGTAGAGAATCCCATGGATTTGCAGAGGTGACGACCCATGGGCTCCCCCAGCTGCTCCCGATTTCGTACGCTTTAGTTCCTCTGGTTTTCCTGTATCCTGCTACATGACAGTCCTGGCAGGTGATGTTGCGTAAAGCGATGGCGTATCGAGGCTTTTAAAGGCAGAAGTAGACCCAGATTTGGCGTTGCCTAAATAAATAAAAAAATGCGTTCCCCCCCCTCTCCCCCAGTGTTTTTTTTTTTTTTTTTTTTTTTTTTAAATGTAGCGATGTATCAATGTAAACCTCACAACTGGTTTATGTGTTATGGCCTTGGGTTTTTTTTTTTTTTTTTGGTGCTGTCAGAGGGTGCCTTTTTCTATGTGGGAGGGGGGATTGGCTGGCATCAGTCGTTGACAGAGGGAAACCCCCCCCTCCCCTCCTCCTCCTGCTTCCCCATCACACCTCCCTTTCCATTCCCATTATTTCAGATTCTAATATTTAGTACAGCGTTTCACCTCACTAGCGGAGCTCATCACACGCTTCGCTGTCAGACTTCGATCATTCCCTTTAACTAATCGTTCCATGTGACCCCTCCCCCCCAACCGGAACCCCCACCCCCTCTACATTAGGTACAAAGTAGCAAAAAGAAACCATTTATTACTTAAGAGTGAATTTTTCCCTCTCTGGAACAGAGAGTAAAAAAAATGGTTACATTGTTAACAAAGAACTGTCAGGGCACCAAAGGCGTGAAAGCCGTTGGCGGACGCAATGTTTCATTATGCAGCGCATGGAGCATGAAATGAGCCGTTTGTTCTTCCGATTCTCAAATCAGCCTCAGCGTGCGAGGATCGTACACAGATTTACTCGCGCCGTATAGGACGATATTCTATTGACATGACCTACGTGTGATGGGAGATTATGTACATGGCTTTCCTTAGACCGTTTTTTTTTTTTTTTTTTTTTTTTTTTTTTTTTAGGGAAGACGACATCCCAGGGATCCCTTTAGACGTGCATGATCCGCAGTTATCTCAAATGGCCGCTAGGTGGTGCTGCAAAGCTGCTCAGTGTAATGCAGGCCATACATGGGTCAAATTTCGAGCGATTTTTCATCCAAAAATTGAAAACGCCATTCGCTCGGTAATCCGAAGGCGCCATCGATGATTTTGAAATTCGGCCGACCGAGTCATAAAGTTCACCCCATATAACAGGCGAAACTTCTGTTCCTTCCAGGTCACGGCTCATGCGCATATTCTTTTCGAAAAAACAATCGTACGAGTTTACCATCATTGAGTCGAAAAAAACGGTAGTTTTTCATGACTTTTCCAACGTGCCCGATCACCGAAAAGAGGAGAAACCATGAAAATCGACCGGTGCCATTGACCCCACTAACAGAGCGAAAATCAGTCGATTTTATGACAAAAAAATCAGTCAAATTTCGACCCATGTATGGCCGGCTTAAGTTATCCCTCCATTTATAATACACAATCCCACCTGTTACACCAAACTGTGTCTCACCTGGAGACCACCATTGATTGGCTGAGACCCCATTCACACCTGAGAGTTCCATTAAAGTGTTACTAAACCCCAACAGTACAATCAGTCTATAGATACAGTAAAGCATGCTTGTTATACTCACTGTGGAACCTAAGGGATTAATCCTCTGCATTGTGTGAAAATGCTGTTTGATCCTGTCTTCTCTGATCCTCCCCTTCTTCCAGTGCCCCCCTCTTATCTCCTGATAAGACAAACTGAACAGTAGCCATTCTGCACATGCTCAATATAGTGTCTATACTAGAGAGGTTCTTTTTTTTCTTGGGAAAGTGCATGTAATCAGCACAGGGCCAATTAGCACTGTCCAGACACAGGGTCAGGGGTTCTGCATCCTCCTAGATCAGAAAGAAAACTCCTCCTACAAGCTTTAATCAGTGCTCTGCTGGACAGTGATAGAAGTCACAAGACTGCAATGAATGTGGGGTCCGGGGATACGCGATATAGAGAACGCGGGGTCCCGGGAGACCCAATATAGTGAACGCGGGGTCCGGGGAGAGCAGGAGAGCGGGAGAGCAGCCGGGAAGCGGTTAAAAAAGCAGGATTTGTTTGACCACGGACGTATTTCCGTCCTTTTTTTTTTTTTACGCTGCTAAAATCAGCACTACACAATGGCCCCCAACGTACCTGTCTGAAGGGCCCTATTCCTTTGTTTTATGCATGCAGAACTGGACACGGCACCCTTTAGTACACAGCATTTTATACACCTGGTGATTGACAGCTGCAGTCGCGAATGGTCGGGAAGCGGTTAAAAAAGCAGGAATTGTACGACCATTCCTTTGTTTTATCCAGGGGCGGAGTGACAACTCATGGGACCCCAGGTATTAGGTGATCATGGGGCCCCCGTGTCCTTGCCCACACTCAAAGCACACCCAAAAAAGCCTATAAAAGGTACCAGGGGTATTTCATGGGGCCCCCTACTGACCCCGGGCCCTTGGGCAATGCCCGTGTGCTCGAATGGTCAGTCCGCCCCTGGTTTTATCCGTGCAGAACTGGACACGGTACCCATTAGTACACAGCATTTTATACACCCGTGTGAACGTAGGCCTTACTAGGCGTTGCGATAATGCGTGCGTTTTTATTGCACGCTAAAATATGCATTCAAACACGCGTTAGCGCAGCACACTGATCTGATAGGCTTAGGCTTGTTCTTCATCATTCTCTTTAGTAAATCAGCCCCGCTGGGAGTGCACAGCAGATGTCGGGGCTTCTCGGGGCCGGCAGGGAGGAGGAATGGGGACTCACATCTGAAGGAATGGCGGGGGTGCCCCTCTTCTTGCGTGTGGCTGAGTGAGAGCTGTGCTGGCTGTTACTAGGTGAGTTGGATTCATCCAGCCAATGGCTAATATCCATCATCGGCTGCAAATCAGAGTAAAATGTAACAGGCGATCCAGTGTAGGGATAGCGGCTAGAACAGAGTAGACGTCCTCCGTATAGCTTGAAGCCTCGATCTTCACATCTGCAATGTTAATATGTTTAGGGTGATAATTATATGACACCTAACAGTCCTGAACACCAAAAGCTCATTACTGGCTCTAAGGCCAATTAAAGTCCAGCTCCGGCAATTAAAAAAAATTATAAATAGACCTCCAGCAGTGGTGGAGAATAAAAGAGCAGCTTTGGCTTCCATACTCTATGGCACTGTTCCCCTGCAGCAATTCAAATTGGCCACTAGATGTCCTCGGTCTTCTGGGTTGAATGACATAGGGGCAGGGCATCAAAGACCCACCCCCGAGGGAGCATCCGCTAGAGATTTATATATATTTCTTTCAAATATAAATATACCTCCAGCAATGGTGGAAAACTACTGCAGTACTTTATGGCAGTGGTCTCCAAACTGTGGCCCAAGGCCCTTCGCAGGCCTTTAACCGACCCTAAGGGCAGTATTCCTTAAACAGATGGGCTAAATGGTTAGCACTTCCGCCTGGCAGTACGTTGGTTCGAATCCCAACCATGGCACCACCTGCCTGGAGTTTGCATGTTTTCTCTGTGCCTGCGTGGGTTTCCTCCTGGTACTCCGTCAGATTTCCTCCCACACTCCAAAGAAATGCTGGTAGGTGAATTGGCTCCTGTCTAAATTGTCCCTAGTATGTGTATGAATGTGAGTTAGGGACCTTAAATTGTACGCCCCTTAAGGGTTAGGGACTGATGTGAATGTACAATATATATGTAAAGCGCTGCGTAAATTGACGGCGCTATATAAGTACCTGAAATAAACAGATATGAGGCAGTATTTCTCCCACTGACACCAACAGTGTCTACTGACACCCATGATGGGGCACTATTCCCCCTCCTACTGACCGTAGGCATCAAGTAACTGACCACCAACCCTGAGGCAATGTTTATTTTCACTGATGCTAGGCCTGGGACGTTTTCTACCCCCACTGGCCACAGTCTGGCCCCCCTAAAGTCTGAAGGACAGTAAACTGACCCCTCTGACCCCTGCTCTGTGGCACTGTTCTCCTGTAATTAAAATTTGCCAAAAAAAAGAGGAAAAACCTCCTGCACTCCATGTAGGCTATGGCCTACATGGAAGGATCTTCATAAACCTTACCATTCAATCCAATAAGGCAGTTCTGTGCAGTCCCCTAAGGCCTGGGGTAGCCTAGTATGGCACCATAAAATCAGAAAATATTAATAAAATAATCAAATTTGCCAGTAATTGTCCTCAATTGTTCCACAAGTGTCAGGTGTATGGACTTCAGCCAAAGTGGTTTACTCATCCCAATGGTGACTATCCCAACGGTGACTTTCCCAACAGTGACTATCCCAACGGTGACTATCCCAATGGTGACTATACCAATGGTGATTATCCCAACGGTGACTTTCCCAACGGTGACTATACCAACTGTGACTATCCCAATGGTGACTATCCCAACGGTGACTATCCCAACGGTGACTATCCCAACGGTGACTTTCCCAACGGTGACTATCCCAACGGTGAAGCTATGCAAACAATTGCAAGAGAAGGAAGTGACAACAGCCAAAGAGAGACCGAGGGAATTGGTCATGGTCAAGGAAGAAGTAGCAAGGCAAAGGGAACTTGAGGATGAAGTCAACCAGACCCGAGGACTTATTAATGGGAATTGTACGTTTTCTGCCCCATGAGGCCTGGAGAGAAAGGTGGGTGGTTGCTCACTAGAGGGACATTAGTCAACGGCTCCATGACAGCAAAGACAAAATGGCATTCTGTTTGACGTTCAGCCTGGGTATGTATGGCACCTATCTCCCAGAGGGCAAAGGTTTGAATGGGTAAGACGCCATGAACTGCAATCACCTGCTTCTATCAACACTTGCAACTCAACACCCTGGGACTTTTAGGGTGTCATGCAATCAAGTAAAAATGTATTTTTTAAAATTATTCATTTATTCATTTATTCAATTACAAAATAAAACCATATGTAGCACTGCCCCCTTAGGAGACACTGAAGTTTTGGGTCCGCCTATAGTCCTGCACAGCCAGGCAACACGCATTTTCACTATAATGTGCATCCAGGATACAGTAACTAGTCCTTAAGCTTTTTTTGTCATTTTATTAGGGGATTTGAACTGAGATAGGGTTAGGGGTGTACGGGATGCCCAATGGAACTACAAAACAGAAGGCAAACTCCTTAGCAACTCTGTACAAGTCTTTACAGCAAAAAGCGAGCTAGCCAGCATCTCCTATAGTATGGCCCCAGACCCCAAATGAATCCTCTCCTCATCCAGCTATACTGGGTGTTTCCCTGGGCAGGGGATCCACTGCCTGCCACTGCAGTGTGAACAGTCCTAGGTAAAAAGCTAAGAGAGTGCCATTTTCCTCTTAGTGGCCCAGGGGGTGCAGGTTTACTCACTCAGTCCTCCTCTTGTGCTGCTGATGGGTTGGTGGCTTCTACCAGGCCTTCAAGCTGGGCCACTCCTTCCCTGCTGCACAGGTGGTCTTTTCTCTGGGGGCCGGTGAAGCCCTGAGCTTTCCTCCTTCCAAGCTTCCTGCCTGGAGGTGAGCCCCTCTACCATCTGGGCTCCTTCACAGGTTCCTGCTCTCCATCTTCACTTCCTGGGGATTGGCCAGGATCCTCTACGAGTACAGACCAGCCCCTCCTCACCTCCTCCCACTGCTTCTAGATCTTTTCTCCAAATTTCTAGAGCAGTGGGAAATTCCAGAGAGCTGGTCTGCAGAGACTCTCGGCTCTGACCTCATTTTGACCCAACAAGCTATCACACCCAGGATGCTACTCAGCCTCTAGCTAACAACTGATTCTAGGGCTCCCCCTAGTTACCTAGGAGGGTGCTACACATATATTAGAACAATATTATATACAACCCTGTAATGTATTTTTTTAAATGCTGCACAGGTGGTCTTTTCTCTGGGGGCCGATGAAGCCCTGAGCTTTCCTCCTTCCAAGCTTCCTGCCTGGAGGTGAGCCTCTCTACCATCTGGGCTCCTTTCTAGGCTCCTGCTCTCCACCTTCACTTCCTGGGGGTTGGCCAGGATCCTCTACGAGTTTTTTTCTAGAGCAGTGGGAAATCCAAGAGAGCTGGTCTGCAGAGCCTCTCAGCTCTGACCTCATTTTGACCCAACTGGCTATCACACCCAGGATGCTACTCAGCCTCTAGCTAACAACTGACGATAGAGCTCCCCCTAGCTACATAGGAGGGTGCTACACTTATATTAGAACAATATTATATACAACCCTATACCGTATGTTTTTAAATGCAATACAACATACAGCATTACATTTGGAGGTTCCATAGTTCGTTGCACTCAGATTGTAAGGCTGTATAGTAAACATTAATTAATATCCTTGTATTATATTTTTTTTATAGCTTTGCCCCGTATTTCTGAAGAAGCAAATTTGTTCTGTGATGATGCATCATAAAAACTGCCACCCTTCTTCTATGATGTAACCAGCAGCATGTTCCATTTTTTTCTTGACTCAGAGTATAATATATAGTTGTTTAAGGAAGTGACTAAGAGCAGTGTATATGGACATACACCTCACCATAAGACTGAATGTCCATGTTGTAATAACATACTGTTGGGAACATTATTGTTCTTATACAGTATTTGGTTTATTATTATATTATCCCACGCCCCTGACGTCTGTTGATGACGAAACGCGTAGGGTGGAGCCACGCTGTGTGACGTTATTGCGCTCTGGAGGGACAGAGGCCATCTTGTCGGTTAGAAACTTAACGGTGCCATTGGATATGCTGATTTCCTGTGCTTGCTACGTAAGTGCAATTCAATAAATCGGTTTATAACGTTGAATTTACTATGAGTGGGCAATTCTTCTTTTCATGTGGTGCTTTGATGGCCTGATAGGGAGTTTGCCATTTGAAGCTCTTTTTGGAGGAATATCCTGGATGATCCTGTGTTTCCTATGCAAGAACTGGTTGCAGCACCTGCTGGATTTATGACACTGCTTATGTTGACCGACCTGTGTGTGGACCTGTATTGGTGTCAGGAATGGACTCAGCACTGGTGGTGGGACTCACCTGCCGTGTGGGCTGCAGTACCAGGGCTGACCAGCGGGTGCTCTCAGCAGCCAGAAGCTCACTTCTGCAGTCAGCCAACACCTGGGGCTGATTGCAGGAGGTGTATTTAACCCCTTCACGCCTAATGGTAAAACAAATCGAAATGCCTAAGCACAATTCTGCAACGTTGACATGTGTTAGTAAAACCGTACATATCATCACAACTACTTTGTACATCCAGGTGAATTATACCTTGTTTTTTTCAGGACAAATTGGGCTTTCATTTGGTGGTAAATGGTAATGGATAGCTCCTAATTGTTTTTTTTATTATTAAAGGAAAACTGGGCCAAAATAGTAAAAAAAAAAATCGTTTTTTTTAAATTTAACTGTGTTTCTTGTTACGACCATAACCTACCACCAAAGAACAACCCAAAATAAATTCTCCAGTTCTTGACGATCGCAGCGATACCATATATGTGTATGTTATTTGTTGTTTGTACCCGTAGTACAGCCCAGAAACAACAGTGCGCATTTTGTTTTTGTGTTTTTTTGTTTTTTGTTTTTTTTACACAAAAC